TATCTTCAGACATCTAAATCCCTCTAAAAGTCTCACTCTTAGTGCTTAAATCCCAGGTGCCTAACTGACTTCTAGGAAAATCTCACACCGGCACTGATTCACGGCACCATTTTTTTCAATCTGGTCCTCACTCACATAGGGCTGTCGAAAATCCCCCTGCTAATCTCCTGTACCCAGGCATGTATCACTTTGAAGCCTGTAAAATAAATTGCTTTGCGCTCCTGGGGGACAGCAGCTACTTTGTCCCTGCTCGGAGTAAATCAGAGCGTTCTCTCTTGCATATGAACACGTAGATTTGTTGGGAGGCTCTGAAGCTGCTGCCTGAGACTGGAAGGAGCAACCCGGACCGAGAGTTGGTTGTCCTGTTGTTGTTAGGGAGGCATCGCTCACTGCCACAGGGCTGCATCAGGGAGGAGCTGGTTCTGGGCTCCTCATTTCCATCAGTGGGGTTCGCCCGTGGGCACAAGCTCCACTGATCTCTTGGGAAGATTTGCAAGCAAATTTCCTCATCTCTGGCAGAGACTGAACTTTGTTACCTGGGTTTGGGGTTTTTTTTTTTTGTGCGAGAAATTGCTTGGGTGAAGAAGGAGGGGGAAAAATGAAACGCACGTGTTGTGTTTGTCTGGTTTCCTATGGGAATTTTCACTCGTTGGGAACTTTTTGGTAAATATGAACGTTGTGCATGTGCTTTCTTCATTAGAGCAACCGGAGCCGCGGGTAAACAAAGGATGTTTTCCCCGTTTCAAGAACCCCCCCTGCTCAAAAGGAAAGGCTGGCTCCCATTGAAACGGGTTTTGATAGGAAATCTGCCTGCAGCCCTCCAGTTTAATCAGCTTGAGAGCAGAGCGTAGCCTGTAGCTTGTTAATCAGAGCAGCTTGCCCGAGCGGCTCGCACGATGCCGAGCTGCAGAGGAGGCTCGTTGCATAGCTGTGGATTTTAGTTTGCAGCTCTGTTAATTAAAACATATTTCACTTTGAAGGAGGTTTTTTACTGTTTTCGAGGAGGGTGAGCAGAAAAACTGTTCTGGATAGATTAAAGGAGGGATGTGAAGCACTTTTGGTTTGAGGAGTAATAACTTCGCTTTGTTTAGTGGGCAAACTCTAAGCATAAACAACGCGGAGTTTCTTAGTTTTGCTTGTTCTCAGTTCTTGTATACAGGCTGGTTTATGAGCCCAAATATCTTGGCTGGTTTGATAATATCAAGCTAAGCTTTAACGTACAAGCTGCCAGGCTGGAACAGAAAAGGTATCACGAATTCTTGTTTAATTGACATATGAGTAATTCTTTACTTATAGAAGGGGTATACTAAAATAATAAGGCCTGAAACTGTGCCATTGAAGTTAATGACAAACCCTTCATAGGTTTCATATAAAGCCTGTATTTTTATTATCCCAGTTCCAGCGACTTTTGTTGCAAGTTTGCAACAAAATGTTAGGGCATTTCAAAGTGTTATTTTTATTATACAAACCCCCATTAAAATCAATACTGAAGCATCCCATTAATTTAAATGGGACTTTGCATAGTTTGCTGAGTTCCAGGCCACAGATAAAGAAAAGTATGCAACTTGGAGTTAAACTGACCACAGCTTTTTATTGGAAGACATTTAATCTCGAACGAACAGCACAGTCTGAGGCATGAAGTCTTTGTGAACTTCATCTGGGCTTGTGCAATAGGAGCCTCCCCCGTGTAGCAATTCCTGAGGTGGTCATTTGGGACCTTCCAGGACCTTCCAGCATTCCCAAACAAACCCAAACAAACTTCTCTCCCGGCAGCTTTACTTTGGAAAACTCAGAGGTAAGCCAGGATGCCCAGAATAAACGGAAACGTTGATTTGGGTATTTCTCTGCTTGCCTTGACAAAGGTACGGCTACAGTCTATGGGCAAGAGTTTGGGGGTGTCTGCAGCACCCACTAACAGGCAGAGGCTCGGCAGGCTGCAGCTACATTAGGTTGAAACGGCGCAGCTTCCCGAAATCCCTGTTTGAGCTTCGTGCGATGGAAACCACTTGAAGGAACGTGCAGGGTGAGGGATGGGAATCCATCGCCTCTGTGTGTGGAAACACCCATCAGCCAGGCGCTGGCAAGGGGAGTTCAAAACCAAGGTATGAAGAGTGATGGGGAGAGACAAGCTGTAAGTGGGACCCCCGTTTGGGGACACTGGGAGCTAAAAGACCACTAAATAACTGCTCCCCCTCGGCTGCCCCCAGCGTGGTCACACACCTGGGAACGTCCAAAGGTATATCCCTAAGGAAGCCTGGGCAAGGCAGTTCTAATTCGTGCTTCAAACACAACAAACCCTCAAATAATTCAAGCTCTAATCATTGCGGGGGAGACCTAAATGCTCCTGGAAGCAGGGCATCTGTAAAAGCGCGCAGGGGAGGTGCAGGAGCTGCTTTCTGCTCAGTGTCTCCTTGGAATTTTCCTTTCCCTCCGCCATAAATGTGTCAAGATGCCCAAATTTCACCCAGCAGCAGCGGGTCAGCTTTCCCTGGTACATCCATGGGGACACCGGTGACTGCCACTGGCACAGAAATCCCTGCGGGATGTGTTCCTGCTCCCCAGTTTTCTTCCCCGAGCCTGAATTTTAGGGGATTCATGACTCCGACAACAACCAAAACACGCGGCAGGGTTAGACTAAACTTGAGCACTGCAGTGATTTGGAACAGGAGAAAATGAACACCGAAAATGCAGGCTAAAATAAGCTTGCAGATCCCCTCCCGGATGGAAAACGGAGGGAAAACCGGTCCTTTTCCCGGTGTGGCGCAGGGTCCCATGGTTATGATAAGGATAAAGGAGCCGCAGAGCCTCACCTCCTCTCTACTGAAACCTCCCCCCGGGGCTCCAGCGGCGCAGAGAGCCGAGAACTGTCAGGGGGGACCGGACATCCGCGGGCGCGTAAACACCGCGCTGGGGCGGCGGGGAAGCGGCCCCGGCAATGGCTTGTCCCCCGTGGAGAAAAGCGGCTGCCGGCGGATCCGGCCTCCCGCCGGGGATTCATGGATTCGTTTGTTGGAAAAGTGGCATTTTCGGTCAAGTATTGATGGTCATGGCGGTAGGAATGGAGCAGGAATGAAATCGGGGCTGGTTGTGCTTGCAAAAGCTTAGGGGGGATATAAATCCATCGAATAACCCTTAAAATTCAGGAGCTCGGAGAATTTGGAGGGGAGAAAGAGAAACTCACCTTGGCCAAACGGGCCAAACGGTTCGGGAGGGACGGAGCGCTCCCGGGGCTGCCTCGGGGTGCGGGAATGAACTTCAGGGTGCGAGGATGAAGCCTCGGGGGAGGGAAAACCCCAGCCCGCGGCTCGGAGCGGGCTGTAACCGGGGCCGCAGCATCCGCCGCCGGGAACGGTCTGATACCAAATTAACGGGGGGTTAATTCCAGGGCTGGGGCTGCCCTTGGGACTGGGTCCCCTCTTCCCAAGACGGGAGGAGGAGCAGGACAACGACGCAATTCCTTGGGAGAAAAGGTGGGATCCCCCAAAATACCCCCATGGGGCGGTTGGGCTGGGGAAAGCTGCTGTTCTTGTTTAATGGATCTCTTAAACACAGCCAGAAAAGAACATTAAAGTCACTTCTAGATTTCGTTTTGATTTTGTATTTTTCTTTTTTTTTCTTTTTTTTCCTCTTTTTATTCCCATGCTCTTACTTTTGGAAAAAAAAAAAAGAATTAAAATCACAAAACATAACTTATAAAACAATATTTATACCGCATCCTTATCCACAACAGCATAAGTGAAACATCCAGCGTAACGCTTGCCACAGGTGTGAAATACACTGGGAAAGAAGTACCGGGTGCATCTGGTGTTTCTTTGTCATCTACAGGTAACAAGTATCGACAAAAAGAAAATAAGCAACAAATATGCCTGCAATAAAACTTCATATGCGCTTTGTATGAGTATTAATAAAGATCATATTTATAATTTCTTTTTTTTTTTTTTTAGGTTTTCTGTTTTTGCCAACAAGCACTTCTTAAAAGTATCTACATTTACATAAAAACACCTTAAGATAACAACACCTTAAGATCAGGGCGGGATCTTTTTGTTCCTTGTTTTTCCTCACAGTTAGAAAAGCAAGGAACGCTTTCAGCTTTGCTAAACAACCTTTCCGGACGCCGAGGCTCGCTGTTTCTTTAGCAGAGATGCAGTATCTGGATTCACTTCATAACAGACCATTTTTCGTCTCTTTCTTTTTTTCCCCCTAGACTCACTAAAAGGCGTTTCGGGGTTTGGGGGTTTCTTTAAGAGGAAAAGAACCCCTGCGTTTCCATAAAGATGAATGATAATTTCATTATCAGGATAAGACTTTGGATGGGGAAGATGCTGAACAGTTTTCGCCTCGCTGGAGGGTTTCTGTGCTCTCTCAGAACCGGGGATACTGCAGTCTTTTGGAAAGGATGAAGAGGTAGGAACCTTGAGCTGCTTAGGATCAGGAATGACTGGATTATAGCTTCCAACTAAAGAAAAAACATCAAGAATCATGCATTTTAAAAACAGTTTATTCAACGGCCAAGGACAATGATCCGGCACAATGCAACGGTACATATAAATATAACCTTATATAAGTGGTTGACCCTTGTCATTATTACTTTTAATAGTTTCATACCTAATATTTTAACCGTTTTCCCGCAGAATCCGTTCTGCGAATTATAGGGGGTTTTTTCTTCCCCTTTCCCTATTTGTTTTTGTATTTTCCGAGTGTGATTCTGGTTCTCAGTGGTAAACATTGACCATACTCTGCCCGGGCGAAAAGCGGCCAAGAACCGTCCCACCAGCTCTTTACCACCGAGGCGTCTCCCTCCCTCCCTTCCTCCCTCCTTCCCTTTTCCCTCCCTTATTCCCACCCTCATTCCCTCCCTCCCTCGCCGCCCTCCCCGCGGGGAAGCGGCCGCCTTACCAACTCCTGTGCAAGTTCAAGTAAACACATACAACCCGCATAATCCAGAGAAAAAAAATTGCAACTCATCCATGTACCGGATTTCGGTGTCTCTTGCAAAAAGTTTTCTGGTCCGTTTACGGTTTTTGGTGGTTTATTGTTATTTATTATCTCTTTTTACTTAAGCGCTGCATTGGTTGCATCGTTGGTTTGCATGAATATCGTCTTATCTAGACAGTCGAAGTCCGCGGAGCTTCTTGGGGTTTATTTTTGGTGGCGTTTCGGTTTGTTTTGCCTGTTTTTTTCCTCTCTCACTTGCTCGGGTTTTTCTTTTAGCATCATCGGGTTTTAATATTGATATATTTCTTTTTTTTTTCTTTTCCGTTAAACGTCGCTTTGCTTCTGCTTTGCTTTGTCGGCGATGTTTTGTCGGAGGTGGCTTGTGTCAAGTCCGTCAACTGTTGTACTGACAGGCGTTTAGACTAGAGCCGGGGCTTTGCAAACTGCTGTAGCCGAAGCTGGAGTGCTGCTTTGATTTCAGTCTGAGGCTGGCTAAGCTGGAGTTGCAAGTGTCCCGATAGACGCTGTAGGGCGAGCCCGGTGGCCCGTAGGGACAGGCCGGGGAGGACATGGCCGAGTTGAGCGAGGAGCCGCTGATGTTGTTGATGTTGTTGAGGCCGGAGTTGGCCATGCCCGGCACGGCCGAGTGGCCCATACTGGAGGGCATGTTCATGGAGGGGATGCTGCTGGGCGCCGAGAACATGGACTGCGAGGAGAGGGGGCTCATGGAGTTGAAGAAGGTGAAGCTCTTGGTGGAGAGCGGCGCCGGGGTGAGGCTTTTGGTGGCCCAGTTGTTGTAGGGGTACCCGGCGTACATGTCGTCGTAGGGCTGCATCAGCCCGCTGAACTGCGGCACGTAGCCGTTCTTGCACAGGTCCATCTGCTGGTTCCTCTCCCGCTTTCTCCACTTGGCTCGGCGGTTCTTGAACCAGACCTGCGGGATGGGAACGGCACCGACACGGCACGGTCAGAGCGCAGGCAGCCGAGCGCAGTACCCCCATCCCGGGATGTGAAGGGAGATGAGGTCCCACTCCCGGCACCCCCCAACCCCGCAGGACGCAAGTCCAGCTCCGCACGGGTGCTCCGCGCACAGCGGTCCCTGCGCGCATCCCTCTGCGCTCCGCGGGATGCGCGCAGCCGCCGGTCCCGAAGGGTGCCCGGTCCCCACTAGCCCCGCTCCGGTCAGGGCCGGCTCGCCCCGGCTCCACCGCGTTTCCGAAGGCTAATGCTGTGTAATAAAAGCCCCTTGTTAGGGATCATAAAAAGAGGGATTGGATTAGTATGTTTAGGTTTGGGGGGAGAAAAAAAATCAATCCCCGCATCGCCCTTAGATGCAGCCTCTGCCCTTCCATCTACTGGGATTTACAGCCCTGAGTAGGCAACAGAGAAGCGGGGCCGCTCCTGGTGTTTGATGCAAAAACCTGGTCCAGGCTTTCTCTTATGTTTATTCTTCCTTTCTTTTAGCACTTGGAAAGCGGCGGAGCCTCCTGCTATTGAAACCGCTCATTCCCAAAATTCTTTTTTCCAGGTTAAAAATCCAGCATTGTCCCGCCTGCCTCCTTGCCCTGGCCTGCGAGCCTCTCCAGCTCCATCCTCCCCCGTATTCCCGGCTTTCTCCCACCGAACCGTCGCCCCCGGCCTCCCTGCGGACACCGGAGCCGCGCGGTTCCCTGCGCCCGGCCCCGCGGAGACTGCGTGCCCTCCGCAGGGACCGGGGGAGGACAAAAGGGGGCAGCGATTCGGGCCCCCCTTCCCGGCGCAGAAATGGAGCAACTGCTATGAAACACAGGCCTCGAGGATGGAAATTTCGGGAAGGGGGAGGGAATGGATGGAGGAGTCTAGTTTAAAAAATAACAATAATAAAAAGAAGCCCGTATAAATAGGAAACGAAAGCCAACGCGTTCAAACCCTCTAATATACTCCTCGGAAGGTGCTTCCAGACAGGAATTTCCTGAAAATGAGGGTAATAGTTTTAATTATGGCTCCTAGACATTTTAAAGGAAAGCCCTCATAGCAAATTAAGGTTTGATTTGCAATCTGCAATCTCAGAACATCAAACCAAAAGATCTCTACATAGAGGGAGAACGAAATCGTGTTAATAGCAACTCACATATTAGTTTTGTTCGCTTTCTGAAACATCCCCCCAATATTAATGCTCCGGCTTTGTTTCGTTTTCAACTCAATTAGGACAATTCTTTCAGATGCGTTTGTCCCGTTGCAAATGGGTGTTTACTCTTAAAAGGTTTAAAGCCCAATCTCTGTAATCCGATTTGGTCACTCGGCGTTTAATTGCAAGCAAAAAAAAAAAAAAAAAAAAAAGAAAAAGAAAAAAAGAAAAAAAAAAAGGAAAAGGGAAAAAAGAAAAAAGAAAAAGCAAAAAAAGGATTTTCGGGATGTGTCCCGTTTTCTCCCGTGTTTCTCCGCTCACCGGTAATGTGCTCAGCCAACGGTCCAGGGCTGTGCGGCCACGGCAGGAACCGCTCAGGGAAATGTCCCAGGGGGGAAACGGGAAGAGAGAAACGGTGACAGTCGGAGCACGGCGGATCAATACACCCGAGCCGCTTGGTCCGGTCGTTCATTGCTAGGGTATTTCAGCAGGAAATCTCTCTAGCCTTTACCGAGGCTATATATGCATATACAAATGTGCATATAGACTCCATATATATATATAGCTCCATGTATATATATATCCGCCATATTTATATAAATATATAGCCACCAAATATATATTATATGTATAGCCACCATATATATATACTTAGCCACCACATATCTATATGGTGGTATCGGCTCCGGGGCGTATAAAGTAAAGTGTCTACAGCTCTATTGACTTTGAGGGGCCCTTGTCCTTCACTTCGCCCATCGCCCCTGCAAACGGAAGATGCGCGGCCGAGAGAGGCTGGCACCGAGATCCCGGGCCCGGTCTCGGCCGCATCCCGCGGCCGCGATCGCATCCAGAGGCGGCTTGGTGGGAGATGGTCGCGATTGTTGGGATCATCGGGAATAACCGGAGCAAGGGGAAGGGCTGCTGGAGCTGCTGGGATGGGGGTTTAGGCCAACTTGAGCGGTTTCATAGCCCCGACACCCCCCGTATTTCTCGACCCCCGTTTTTCTGCCCGTCGCTGTCGCAGCCAGCTCAGGGCTACATTTCCCCGCAGCCGGGAGATGGATTCCTCCTCTCCGGCCTGGATCCCAGTTTTAGTTATTAAAGCCAAGCTCAGGAGGGCCGGGGGCTGCCCGCAGACCACCGCAGAGCTCCCAAAAGGGACCGTATCTCGGAGACACCCCTCCCTCCCAGAGGCCTGCACCCGGGCGAGACTGAGCGCCCCTCTTACCCGGACTCGGGGCTCGGTAAGGTTGGTCCACACGGCGATCTCCTCCCGCATGCTCATGTCGGGGTAGCGGTTCCTCTGGAAAGTGGCCTCCAGCTCCTGCAGCTGCTGACTGGTGAAGTGGGTCCGCTGCCGCCGCTGCTTCTTCTTCTTCGCCGGGTCGTCGGCGGCCCCGTCCTCGTTCTTCTGCTCTCCGCTGCGCTCCTTTTCTGCGGTGGGGTGTCGGGGGTTGGGGGTTTTAGTTTATTTGCTTTGTTGCAAATAGAAATACAGGAACACAAAGGCGCACGCACCCCCCTCCAACGCTCACAGCGCTGCTTGCCCTTCAAATGGGGGCACCCGCGACGGTCCTACCGGGCCCTACACCCATCCAGCGCCTCTCAGCCAAACCCGGGGGTACCGGGGAAGGAGCAGGAAGCTCTGCCCGGGTCCAGGCACCGGCTGAGCGGCCCGGATAGGAACGGGCCTGGGCAGCGAGCGCGATCGGGGGCAACGGGCTCCTCGCAGCACCGGCAGCTCCGCAGTCCCGCGGCACCTTTTTACTCCCTCAAAGCCAAGGCGCGATCTTTGCTCCATTGTCTTTGTTGTGCTCGGCCGCGACAAGAAACTTTGGAAGGGCCGGGGTGTAAAACCCAGCAGCGATTCATTGCAAAAGTCACCCCCTCTCTCGGCCCCTTCGCTCCCCCTATTAATTATTTATTCCCCTTCTTTTTTCTCTTTCGCCGCTTTTAGGGTTTTTATGTTTATTTTAATTCGAGCCTGGACGAGCCCCTCTGCAAAAATCCTATCGAAAGAAGCAAAGAAAAGAAATCCAGGAGAGTTTTCGCGGTCGGGATTTGCGCGGGCTGGAAGCAGGAATCTGGCCCCGGCCCCACCGCAGCGAGGGACAAATCCCCGCTCCCTGTTCGTAACGGCCGTTTTGGCTCTCCCAGCCCGGCCTTCGACCGGATTCAGCCTGCTTAAAGTGCTCCGAACGGGAGTCAAAGGCCTGAACGAAATGTGCTCCCGGCCCGGGCCCCGGCTGGAAAGGGGAAAGGTGCAGCCGGTCGCGGGAGGCTGCGGGGCCGGGTCCGCGGCCATCCCCGTGGCCTCTGTCTTGCTTCTGCCTAAAGGAAACCCCTGTGGAAGTTTTCCCTTTGGAAGGTGTCCCCCTCCCCTGCCTTTAGAGGGTTTTATCCCAGTGGCCTCGGGCCGGGGACATTTCTACAGCCCCGACCTCTGCGAGGTAACCGGGAGTCTAAAAATAATCGCGGGCTGCATCCAAAGCCCAGGAGGACTCGTCCTTGCAAAGTCACCCCTGAACCGCTCCTCTCCTGAGCAGAAGCCGAGTGGGGGGGGTGTTTCCAACGGCTCAATGCAAACCCCAAGAGAGGCCGATTGCAGCCCGGACGGCCCCTTTCTGCCGTACGAGGTTTACAGAGCAAACAAGGCCTCCGCAGCACAGAACCCATCGCTCCCGGGCCCCCCCCAGAAGGGCCACCGAGCTCCCCGAGCCTTGCGGTCACATCGAGCCTCCCCGATCCAGACCGGGCCCGAGCTCGGGCCCTGCCGAGCCGCACGGCCCCACTGCGGCGGCGGAGAAACAGAAACCAAAATAACCCCGCCGAGACAAATCCCCCCCGCTTTCGGCCGGGGAGAGCCCGAGGAACGGGGCCGAAGGGAGCCGGGAGAGACGGGGAAGCTCCGCCACTGCGGTGGGCTCCGTCCCCGCCGCTCCTCTCCCGGCTCCGGGTTTAACCCAGCCAGGATTCCCTTGGAAAGGCGGCCTCCGCGGCGGGCTGTGGGACAATTTCAAATCGCAAAGCACACCGGCTTTGAGCGGCTTTGGTAGCTTTTTTCCTCGCATTAAAAATGCCAAACGTGAAAGCTATTTTGCAACTTCTCGGGGAAGAAAAGCAGGCAGGTCCCCAGCCCTCCTCCAGGACCGAGGGGTCACACACAGGGGTAGGGCAAAATGGAGCAAATCTCCCTCTCTAATCTCCAATAATCCCCTCTAATCTCAGAGTCCCTTCCAGACGCCGGTCTCTAACTTTGTTTGCGAATCAGGCTGGGGAGAACAACTCAAACCCTGTTTATCACCGGGTGCCGCTTCGGGACCGACTCTTCCCACAGCTACACCCCGGGTTCTGGGACCTGCTCAGACTCCGAAGAGCAAGAGCAGCTATTAAAACGCTAAAATGAAACAAGATCTAAACTCCCCCTATAAACGGTCTCAGGGCTTTCACGCTCTCTCTGAAGCTTTTGTTTCCTTCTCCCAGCTTTTCCCCTCGTCGTGATAGAAACATCGCTAACTGAACTCAGTGCAAACGGGGAAATCACTCCGTCCTTGCAGCACATGGTGGTCAGAGCCGGGGACCTTTCCCAGCCCCTCCGCGGCGGCCCGCGCTGCCTGCACTCGGCCCATGCCGCTTCTGCTTTACGGGGACTTTTTTCCTTATTTAAGATAAGTTTCCCTTCCCCCCCGCCTCTTTTCACAGAGGGATCTTTTTCCATCCCTGCACCACCCCAGCTGGAAAATAAACCCGGGCAAAAGCTGACATTACTTCAGAAACATCCACCAAAACCGCACTCCCCGAAGAGTCCCCCCCTTCCCCTTCCACCCCATCAATTAATAGCTGTAGTTTCAATGGAAGAAGAGCATCTCGGGAGTGGGGTTTGGGATCCGTGCGGGTTCTCCCTGCGGGCTGTCACCGCCGGCCACGGCTGCCCGGAGCTCCGGATCCCGGGATCTCGGGATGGATCACACCGGGATCACCGGCAGCTCTCCCCTCCCCCATATCCCCCCCCATCGCCTCTGGTTGTGCGGGGGGTGCGGGCAAAGCCCCGCGGAGGGAAGGGAAAGGAAGGGAAAGCGCGCTGGGGGGTGAAAGGGAGGCGGTGCGGGGGATCGGGGGGCGCGGGGGGCGGTGGGTTTACCTGGCACCTCCGTGTCAGAGGATTCACTGGCTGAGTTGTCGATCGGGTCTCTGGGTTCCGAGGATCTTTGCAAATGGAAGCTGGAAGCCATGTCATGGGAGGGTTGGGGTCTCAAGCTCTCGGGCAGTCTCTCCAAATTCATTCCACCTTTAAAGGAATCCATGGCAGGGGCGCCGGGCTGCCTGGGGGAGTTTGCAGGTGTTTATTCCACACAGAAAGCAGCGAGAGGTTTGCTTATTATTATTATGTTTTTCTTTAAAAAATAGATATAAAACCAAGAAAAGCAAAAGCAAATCCACTTATTACTAATAGGATTATTTTAAGGGTGTCGGAAAAAGAGCTCTGGGGGGTGCCTCGAAGCCGGCTGTCTCTGCTCGGGATGAGGCACGGCAGTCCGGCCGCATAGGCAGGGAAGTGGTAAAGATCCCTTATAGAGAAACGCGAGTTGCGAGTTGGACAGTTTAAAGCTAAAGAGATTAAAGTGACCTGCCCTAGAACAAATGCCTGTAGTTAAACGGGGCTCCTCCCCCTGAAGGTTAAAACCTCCCCGTCTCGCTAATGCATCACTCCATCTAGCGCTCGCCCAGCCCGGCCGCGCGGGCGGACATGCCTCCGCGCTCCCCGCCGATGTGCGCGCCCCTTGCGCGGCCGCGGCCAGGTCCGCGGCACCCCCTACCCGGCCCCCGCCGCCCGGCTGCCACTGCTTCGAGCTGCGCCCCCTCCGTCCTCCATCCCCTCCCCCAGGGCCCGTGAGGTATTAAAAATATTCCAGAAACGAATGGAGAGGTGGAAAATCCCCCCCCTTCCACCCCCCCTCTCCCCCCAGCACCCCGCCAGCCCGCCCTCCTCCGCAGCGCGCAAGTTGCGCCCCCGCGCAGCGCAGCACCTCCGCGGGTATCCCCGCAGCCAGTCCGGCTGGGCCTCCCTGCCCACGGAACCTCTACCTCTAGGCCCTGAAGTGGACGCGCACCCTGCGCACCCCTCAGCATCCCTGCGCGGGGCTGCGTGGCCCGTCCCAGCGCGCAGCGGTCCCTCCGCAGCTTTCAGTCCTGCGGCAAACAGGGGAAGGGATTTGTGTCGGGATGAGGGGCCCGGGGGTTGTGTCTGAGCTGGTTTCACCCCTTTTGAAACGGGTTTTTTCCTCGCTGCTGGGTTTAGAAGACGCGGCCGGGGGCACAGCGCGATCGCTCCCATCGCATCAGCTTCCAGCATGCGATTAATAACAAATGATTTTCCTCCCGTAGCCGAACTCGCCGTGACTCTTCGGAGGGGTTTCTGCTGCTCTGACAGCCCGGGACCCCCACCCAGGGTCGGAGCCCTCCCAACTCCCCTGCAGCAGCCACCGGTGCTCCCTGTTCCAGTGCAGAGCGGGGCCGGTTCCTGTGCTGCTAGCGCAGGCCGTGAGCCCTCCCCGTTAATAGCACTTCTGTGTCTGATGAGGTGGGAAAACCCACCCTCAGCCTGGGGGGCAGGTGGGAACCGGGGGTACCGGTACCGGAGAAGGGGGGGGAGGAAAGGGGTAGAAGGCCCCCGGTGTAACTCCGCCCGGGGAAAGGACCGTCTCTCCTCTTTATTTTCTCGGCTCGCTTTAACTGATCCATCCTGACACTCTATTTTGCTTTCAAATCAAGTAAAGATGTGGGAGAGAACTTTTGAACCGGTTTATGGAAAAGTGGAGGGAAGCGAAGTTCCAGCCGCGCAGGGTTTTTCCTACCGGGATGGGGTGATGCAGCCGGGTACCCCCCTCCAAGCTGGGACACCGGGTGGGGAGAGCCCAAAGCCTCACCCGTGCACATCTCTTGGAGTTCAGGGGATGTGCAGGTGGGTGCTGGCAGGGTCAGGTCTCCCTAACCCTCTCTTATTGTGACATATCAGTGTCCATCTGTCCATCCACCGCTCCCGACTGAACTGCGCTCAGGAGTCTGCAAACGAAGGGGGTATTTCGGGCACCCGAGGGGAACCTGGCTGCTAAAGCTGGACATGGTTTAAAATGCAAACATTTAGCAAGGCCTCTGCGTTTCCAGAGGCGCAGCTGATGCAGAAGACGCTGGAAGAATGGAGACACCCCCCTGGGGAAAAAGAGAGAGGTGGGGATGGCCTTGGTTCCGAGGAGGAAGGTGACCGATTCCAGACATGCACAGTGCCTGAGACCCTTCACGGTCCCTTTTATTGCCTCTGTTTCTGTGGGACAGATTTTTCCTTCCCTTTTCTTGTACCTTTTTTTAATTATATTTTTTAATTTACAGGTTTTGTTCTCCTCCGTAAATTTACTTTTTACAAACCCGTTTTAGCCTCAATTTTCCCTAGGAAAGGACCAGCCCCAGGCACCGCCGTGATTTCACCGAGGCAGAGGCTGTCCCGCTGCCCACCCCCCGGCTCCTTTGGGGAAGGATCCCTGGCAGGCACCCTCCATAAGGGCTTTAAATAGAGAGTAACGGGGCTGATCCTGCCGCATCAAGCCCTCGGGAGCAGCTCCCGGCTCCTTCCTGGGCTCCCCTCAAGTGTCGTGGGTCAGGCATTGACCACACACTGAAGTTCGGGCTGGCGGTCTCATACAGGAAGATATAGTTGCATGCATATGTAACTATATATACACACACACATACATACACGCATATATTCTGCATGTCTTATGTATGTTTTAGGTGGATTTAACGACTCCTGTCTCACAGAGCCAAATCCTCCATGCTGCTGGTCACGACAACACATATCGCGACAACAGAACACACCCAACAGGGCAGTTGCTCCCCAGACTTGCGCTTTCTCCTCATTCCTCCCCTCCAGACCCGCTCCGTTTCGGGATGTCAGGGACATCTTTCTGCCTGCAACCCCCTCCAACAGGCGTTACGTCACAGGTCCATCCTTTCGACGTCACTCTTTGCTTCCCTGACGTCACGCCTCGCCTTTCAGCCAGGCCATCACCCAAGGCAAGCCTTGATGCCCCGCTCGGAGCAGGCTGCTCTTCCCACCGACGGTGGCTCTATGGGTCACGCAGGACGGTGATCCCGGGCTCTGCCTTTCCCCTACACGTCCCCGAGCATTGGGGGTACCAGAGGGAGCTGCAGGAAGGGAGCAGAGGACGGGGCAGCCCCTCCAGAACACCCGCGGTAGGGACGATCGGGGCCGAGAGGGACCCGCGGAGCTCCGGCAGAGACACGGCCGGTGTGCGGGATCGCGGGAGGGTTTTGAGTGGGAAACCTCCGCACCCGCGTAGCCACCGCTCCCCCCCCCCCCCCCCCGTCTGGGGGCTGCACCGGGGATCTGTAAAACGCTGGAAGTCCGCAAATAAACCGCTCCGCTTCCTCCTGCTATAAATAACCCAGAGACAGGGATGGCGCTTATAAATAAACCAGTGCTGGCCATGCCGGTGACAACCCCGTGGAGAAGAGGACAGGACGTGTCTGACCGAGAGAGGGACTCCATGTGCCCCGGGTGCCGGTGAGGGGGGATCTTTGCTTTCAGAGAGGGGTTCCCACCCCTGGCTGCCTGCAGTGGTTGCAGCCAATGCCAAAGCACCTGGGCCGTGTATCAGGATCAGTCTCTGCCAGCTTTTCCTCTTCAGATTTATTAGAGTTGTATAGACTCAGATTCAGTCTATAAACTATTGGGAATTGTTACAAAAATGAAGGCATCTCCTCCAAAACGCACCTCTGTCGAAGGGGAAAGGGAAGCCCTCTGAAAAATAGAGCTGCAGTGAGGCAAGAGAGGAGGGAGAGGCTCAACCCTCTCCCTCCCAACCAAACCCAACCAAACCCAACCCAACCAAATCAAACCAAACCAAATCAAACCCAGCTCAACCGAACCCAAGCCCACCCAAACCAACCCAACCAACTCAACCAAGAGAAACCAAACCAAGCTGAATGAAACCACAACCAATGCAACCGAGCCAAACCTAGACAATTCAATCCCTGTCAAACCAAGCTCCAGCCAAGCCAGCCAACCTCCACCCCTTCGCAGAGACCAGCAGCTGGGAATTGCTGCAGGAAAACCACTTTTAATAACAAATCCATCCCCAAAGTGCCCAGCGGGTGGCGGAGGGGCATCGCCGGGGTGGTGAGAGGGGCTCGAAGGGTGCAGCTCCCCCCGCGCAGGGTCTGCAGCGCCACGACAGCGCGCAGTGGTATTTTTAAAGCGTTTCTCTATGGAAATATCCCCCGCACGGGTGGATGAGAGGTTTTGGGCCTCCAACCCCCGCTCCCGGCTTTCCTGCTGGGATGCAGGATGCCCACATTGGTTGGGAAGAAGTAGATGTCGGGGATACGCACAGGAATATAGCAGCATGGAGAGCACCGGGGGGAGGGGAGGGTGTTGCGTTTGTTGTTGCAGTGCCCCGAGGGGGTGGTCTCCGTCGGGGCAGTGTCCCCGGGGTGTCCTGCCCGAAACCAGCATCACCCCAAATGCCATCTTACACACCAGGTACTTGAGGGTACGTCTCAGCGCAAGGCCAGGATCAGTGCTCCCTTCTTCCCTGGGGGAAAACAGGGCAAACCCCAAGATCGGGGAACGAGTGCCGGCACCCCCCGACCTCTCCAGAGCCGGGTACCCCCTGGCCAGGCAGAGCCGGCAGCGGGAAGCCGAGCAGGGAAGAAGCCGAGCCTGGAGAGCGTGTTAAATCGCTCAGGAGAGGAAGGTGGAAAATTACGCTGGCTCCCAGCCGGCCCGTCCTCCTCTGCGCAGCCAGGAGAGCAATTTTCCTAAGAAGTAGAGCAAAACGAAATCAGCCCCTTTTGGATCCGCAGCCTTCGTCCCTCCGCGTGTCGGCCAATCCCCCGCCTTCCGCAGGCGCGCAGGGCCCCTCCGCGGATGCTCGACGGAGGGTTTCCCGCAACTTCCCAACCCGCAGCGCTCCCTACCCCATCCCGCTCCCATCGGCCTGCCGGCCGCCTCCCACCACCAGGACACCCAACGGGGAAAACGGGATTTTCACAGGGCATTTGCTCCGGGACAGCTCCCTGGGCACCTGGGGAGCCTCGGGTTGCGGCTCAGGTCCCCCCCTTCCATCTCCATCCTCATCCCACCCCGGGGCTGCTTCGGGCGCCGGCGGCCCGCGGCAGCGCTTGCAAAAACTCGGGATGAAAAAGTTGAAGGCTTAATGTTTTCTGACAGATACAAATGATACCCCAAGGCTTTCTTGAAATGCAGCGACTGACGGCTGGAGAAACGGTTTT